AGGATCCCTCACTTCTTCCTGGTTGGTGCTTGAGTTTTCTTCTGTTTATTTTATTTTATTTTATTTTTGAGATGGAGTCTCGCTCTGTCACCCAGGGTGGACTGCAGTGGTGCAATCTTGACTCACAGCAACCTCTACCTCCCAGGTTCAAGCAATCTTCCTGCCTCAGTCTTCTGAGTAGCTGGGTTTACAGGTGCCCACCACCACACCCAGCTAATTTTTGTGTTTTTAGTAGAGATTGGGTTTCACCATGTTGGTCAGGCTGATCTCAAACTCCTGACCTCAAGTGATCTGCCTGCCTGGGCCTCCCAAAGTGCTGGTATTACAGACATGAGCCACTGCGCCCAGCTGAGTTGTCTTCTTTAGGCACAAAACTGGTCAAATCCTACCTTTATACTCTACCCAATCCATGGTTAAAGCTTCTTATCTGGCACGGAAACACACCCACCTGTGGGTCCACTGGTTCATGCCCTGCTGGCCAACTCCATCTCCTTTTTCTCTGCACCTAGATGAGGGCTCAGACCACACTGACTCTGTGACCCTGCAAACTCAAACCCCCTGCAATATGTTACTGTCCAAGCTGCCTTCCAGCAGGGAACACGTTCTTCACTGGCCAAGCCCATTCCAGTGCCAATTCTGATTCCACAGCTGCCTCCTTTCTGAGGTCTCCTGCACCCCAATGCCTCCCAAAATTTAACCAGGTGACTCCTCTCCCTGGATTTGCAGTCTATACTGGGAGGCATTTCTGACCATTCCGAAGTCTGATTTTGTCTACCTGTCCCTCCATGTTGTGAGCCCTTCAAGGGAGGGACCACAGCTTGGTCTCTGCGTCCCAGCACTGTGTGTAGCATATGGAAGGGTAGCAAGAATGAAGGAGCCGTCTGGAGCTAAGAGCCCATGGGCACCTCAATAGCACGTGTGGGCCACTGTGGAGGCCAGTGGTATAAAAACCTTCCACCATCACTATTTCTGAAGCCTCTGGAAAAGCCCACCTTGGCTCTCAGAGAGTCAAGCAGGACAGCAAAAGCAAACACTAATCCAGTGCTCCCCATGTGCCAGGCTTTACCTACACCAGCACTGTAATCCTCGCCAAAATCTCACAGCCATTCCCATTTTACAAAGGAAGAAACGGAGGCACAGAGAGGTTACATAACTTGCCCAAGGTCACAGAGAGTGTGGAACAGTCAGGCTCTGACCGAGGCAGTTTGGAGCCAAAGTCTGTCATGGGACACCACTGATAACAGCAAAGAAGGAATGAAGGGAGGGAGGGAGGGAGGGAGGAGAAAGGGGTCTGTTTTGGTTCCTCTTTTACCAGAGATGAGTGGGAAATTCTCCAAGTGAGGGCTCCTCTGATTCCTTTCATCTGCTAATTCCATGTATGCCAAATACTGGCTTTTAGAGTCAGAAGAGCCAAAGCTTCCTCTGTGCCAAGCCGATGGCCTTAGACACTCAAGGTACTTACTTCACATGTCAGCCTCACCACTCGCATGTGACCGGTCTCCTCATTTTACACATGGGGCACTAAGGCCGGGAAGAGCAAAGCCACATGCCCAAGTGACAGCCAGCAGGCAGTGCAGGGTGAGCTTCCAGCTGTCCCCTCACCCCCAGCTCTCACTCTGACATTTATTTTTTATATTTTCCGGTAGGCGTGCACTGTTCCTCTGAAAAAGGTATGGGTTCTGATGCAGAAAAGGCTGATTGGAAAGCTAAGGATATTATCAGCCTCATTCACTGAAAGGGGAAAATCTCCCCCTTTGCTGAACCTTCCATGCCGGTAAGAAAAGGCCTTCGGCCGCAGCCTCAGCCAGGACATTTGTCCATAGCTCCAGGAGGGCCGGGCGTGCAGCCTGGCGGTGTCCACAGCTGTGACAGAGTCCAGTGCAGCCTCCGCGTCTGCCTCTTGCTGCCACCCTGTGACAAAGTGTGGCAATCGCAGGCAGGAAATAGGGCCCATGAGAAGGTGGGGATGGAGGGGCCTTGATGCTAGCAACCCACAGACTCCCTCAGAGTCTCCCCCAAGACATGCTGTGCACATGCGGCTCAGAACCACATTCTATGGTAGCTTCCATGGGCCCTGCCGGATGCATGGGGAACTTTGAGGAGCTCATTCATCAAAGAGACACTCCACTAGTCCACCCTCCCCTTCCCCACATTCCTGTGTCAGCCCATGGAATGGAAACACGCACCAACCCCTTCAGAGGAAGAGGGAGGGACTGGACACACAGCGCTCCCCTGTCACTAAACTGCATGGGCAGGGCTGCACAGACCTAGCTGCTCAGCTGCAGCTAAGCCTCCTGCTCTCCTGGCAGCAGGAAAGAGAGCAGCATCATTCCCAGAAAGCCTGCCTTCGTCCCCACTATCCCTGGATGTACCAAGCCAGTCTCAGCATCAGGCCCTGTGCTCGGGAACTAGAGGTCAAGGTCACCTCTAGTGTAGCGGAGGTCCTAGACTAGAAGGAAGTTAGCCAACAAATTTGTAACACAGTTACACCCATTACACCCAGGGAGCAGCGCCCTCAAGAAAGTCCCAGAGGTAGCAGTACTGGATACAAGACTTAGGGCTAGGGTTTAGCACCAGGTCAAGGGCAGAAGTCAAGGCTGCAGGAATGAGGATAGCAGGGAAGAAGACTGTTCCATCCTGAACAGAGAACCAGAAAAAAAAAAAAAAAGGCCTATTTAAATAACAACAACAATAACAACCATAATAGATATTCTAGAACTGAAAAATATAATAGAGGTTTTAAAAATATATAAACAAGTAAAAATAGTGAGATTAGGCCCAGCTGAAAAGAAGCTAGGTGAAGAAAAGACAAATTGATGAAACCCCTCAAAATGCAGTGCAGAAAGATAAAGAGAAAATATGAAAGTGATATTAAGAGACATGGAGGCAAAAATGAAAAATTCCAGCATCCATCCAGGAGAGAAGAGAGGGAATGATGAAGCAACACTGAAAAAGATAAAAGTACAGACTCTTCCATAATTGAAAGCAGACAGGGTCTACCTGTTGAAAAGTTCTCTGTTGGTCTATTTCACTTGTCGACCTCATGCAGTCCCTGGATGCTGTGCCCTGCACTGGGTGGTGAGGATGCCCAGTGCCAGAGATGGGCACAGGGCAGACCCTACCTGGAGAAACCTAGATCCCGGAACCCCCAGGATGCTGGGATATGCCGTGCAGGGCTAGGTTCTGCTGCTTACAACAAGCCTGGCATTCAGAAAACACCTGGAATCCTTCTTCTTTCTTAGACATTTTAGTGATATTAAATGGCTGAGAGGGACACTTCCCTAAATGAAAAAAATTGCAATTCTTTACAGTGTCTAGAGCTCTCCATCTTTCTAGCTAGCAGTAAACAGCTTTTAGTTTGGCCACCAGTCTCCAGAAATCCACACACACGCATCCAGAGTGCTTTCATTATCAAAACACCCTAGTCCCCTAACACTGTGCACAGCACAACTTTGCATCTGCAAATATCTCCATTTACTCTGCGGTTTAGAGACTGTTACATAATTGGCAACTTACCGCATTTTAATTAGCCATTGTTAATTCCCATTATTACTGTTACCCTTAATTTATTAGACTGCCAAAACAACTGCATTTGGGAGCTTAAGGAGACAGCTTGCTCTGTCCCAGCCAATGCTTAGATCTTGGTCTATCTTTTTAAAGCCAATCTTCTAGGGTAGAAGCCAATCTAAAATCTTAAACTCTTTTAGGGATTCCATAAACAGATATTAATGTGAAGCCTAACACCCTAACACCTCTCTCTAAACCACAGTGAGTAGTTAAATACACAATTAATCTCCAGAATATTTTAAAATTCTATTTGTAAAAACAGCGGTAGTTTTTTAAATGAATTGAATTTCTATAGTCCTGAAGGTTAAAATAAAGAGTAAAAATAATAAAAATAACATTTGCCATTATTGAGCCTTTACTGTGTGTTCAATTCTCTGCTAAGCACTTGACATACATTATTTCACTTAATCTTCATAACTCCGTAAGTACATATTATTTTTTCCCTTCGCAAACTAAGACTCAAATAAGTTGAGTACTTTGCTCAAATCCACACAGCTAGTAAGCAGCAAAGCCAGTATTTGAACCCAGGTATGCCTAGCCCCAGAGTCTGGCTTTGCACCCTATGTTGATTATCTTGCACATATAAGGAAAAGTAAAGGCCGTTTGGTCCAACCAAATCTGTCTGGTCTCCCAGGTAAGCCTGTGCCAGACACAGAGCTGGATACTAGGGGAGAAACAAAGAGGAGAATTTCACATACACATATGCAATGCACACACAAAGGGCAGCAAGAATGGAGGGTGCTGATGAAGCTCACATTATGAGGCTGCTCTGAGGGGCATAATCAGGAATTGAATTGACAGAGACAGAAAAGATGTTCATCAGAGCACTGTCTACACAGGGGAAAGCTGGGCAACAACCTTCATGCTCCACACTGTGGAAACGGGGCACAGCCATACAACATCCCCAGGGGGAAATGTTTTGTAGCCAGAACACAAATCATTTTGGAAAATACTCAGTGATAAGGGAAATGTTCATAAGA